GCTGGCAGACAATATTTCTATGTACTTATTTTATGTGCTGTAAGAATGTTTATATAAATGGAACAACAGGGCAAAGTTATGGTAACTTCTTAGCCATAGCCAACCATCCTGATGAAGTGATTTGTTGGACCTGGGCTCAGGACCATGGTTGTGAGGGACATCAAGCTCTACTGGCATAACATACTACATTGTTCTACATCCTACTTTGGTGAGCACTAGCTGGGGTCTTAAAAGCTTGCAAGCAGCTTGGTCTCTCCTCATCCAGAGCAAAGAGGAATGAAGAAAACCAGAGACACATGAAAACAATTAGTCCAAAGGACTACTAGTGCACCATGTGAACCTCAACCTATGTGACCTTGGGACCAGAATTAGACGGTGCCTGGCAACCACTCTCAATCTCTTGGAAAGGAATCAGTGCAGGAGATCTTTGATAGAATAGGAGAACAATGTAGAACAAAACTCAAAATCATAAAAAAAGACCAGCTTTACTGGTCTGATAAGAGCCTGGTGAACCCCACGAGACTATGGTCTGGAACTGAAATCACTCCCACAGCTTCCAGCCAAACAACAGACAGGCATACAGGGTGAACATTTACACCAGGAAGGTACACTCCTTAGAAAGATCAGTCATGGGAGATCAAAAGGGCAGTATTTGCACAGAGGGTTTGCTCAGGGGGCAAGAATGCGTAAGAAAGAAGGACATAGGGAAAGGTAACTACAGGGAGGAAGTGGGAAGAGAATTGTTACATTGTGGAGATTACAGTCAATGTCATGAAACAAAATGTGCATGAACTGCTGTATGGAAAATGAATTTGTTCCATAAAGTTTTACCCAAATCACAATAAAAATTTTAAAAATTGGCCAGTGAAAATTTTAAGAATAGCAGCGGAACAATGTGTTATCCCTGCTACCCCATATTACCCACAGTGTTTGAGCACAGAGAAAAGACGAAGGCTCTGATTGAAATGGCTGCAGGGATTTTGAGGAGAGGACGTGGGCCACATCTCCTGCTCTGGGACCACCTGCAGCGGCCTACAGCACAGTACCACTCCCACCAGAAGGGGAGAATTTGCTTGGCATACAGCTCCTGACCTGGGCAATTGGGTTCAGTCTCTCACTGGGAGGAAGAGGCAGGGCTAAAGGGAGCCTCCAGAATCAGGCAACAGTGGCACAGCTGGGAGGGCAGTTTCCAGTCCACATGCCCTGGCCCCTCATGGCCTTTGGCCCCAATCTCCTCCAGATTCTGACTCCTGTGTCCCTGGACTCTCCAGCCACCCAGGCTGAGCCTGAGCTGAGACTGAGTGCTGCCTTACACGTGCTGAATAATTCAGGCCCTGGTCTGAGATGTCCGTTTCAATTGCTCTGTCCCCATGGGTACAGGTGTTGGTGGCCCTATAATTAAGCTAATGGAAAGGACTGAGAAGGAGGGCTCTGCTGTTTTGTGTGTCAGCCCCCTCAGCGATAAAGATAGACTTCTATTCTGCTGAGAGAGTACCAGGCTCACCCAGGAGCACAGGTATGGAGAATGGGGGGATGCCAAGAAAGTTGAAATAGCAGTAGGAGAAAGAGAGAGAGTGGAAGGAGATGGAGAGAGGAAGATCAGAGTGACAAAAGCAGGGAGAGGGAGTTACAAAGGAAAAGACAAAAGGAAATCAACCGGCTAATAGGAAGACAATGGGGGTGGGGAGCATAGAATAGAGGCCAGAAGAGACAAAGACTGTTGGAAAAGGAAAAACATCAGATGCCAAGGAGCAGTATTTGAATCCAAAGGCAGGTACAAATGGAGGACCAGCACTGGAAGGTTCCTCCATGGATAGCTGGGCCCAGCAGGGATCTCAGTCTTACTTCTGCCTTTCAGAAGGGTCTAACGCTGCCCTAGGCCTGGCCAGGAGGCTTTGTATACAGCGACCTGCCCACCTCTCGCTGCAGCTGTGGCCATGGGGCACAGGAACCACCTCAGCCTCAGCTTCCTGAGCTCCAGCCTGGGCCTTCTGCTCCTGCTCTGGATCCTGCCAGGTATGAAGCTAGCTCAGTTCCCTCTCCTGGCATTGTTGCTGTTCCTGTCCTCAGATCTCTCCCCACAGTGTCTTTCTCATCAGTACCTGTGCTGGGAACAAACTCTGTGGGGAGTATGGAGGAGGGGTGCTGAAGAGGGTAAGAGAAGACTTACCTGGCTTGGGTGGAAGCAGTGAGGGGAGGGGTCCAGAGGTAAGGCTTGAGAGGTCAGAGACACCAGGTCATAAAGAGCCCTGAATGCCAGGCTAAGAGGTTAGGCTTTATCCTAGAATAGCGGCTGACTGACCTGGTCACATTTGCATTTTAAAAGGCTTGGTCTTTGAGAGGAGTCCCTGGATGGCGCAGATATTTGGCTGCCAACCCAAAGGGTGGCAGTTCAAATCCACCCAGAGGTTTCTCAGAAGAAAGATCCAGCAATCTATTTCTGAAATATCAGCTATTGGAAAACTTAAGGAGCACAGTTCTACTCTGAGCCACACAGGTTATTCATCATGAAAGCTTAGGAAAGGGGTGTTTCCTGAAAGAGGGGGTGGCCCACAGCCTTTTAAGAAACCAACTGACGAGCAGAAACCAACTGAATTATGCCAATGAAATGGCAACAGACTTGAGAGACTGAAGGGGCAAAGCAGTGGGGTCAGAATGCCTGGGCTGAGGTTTGGACTCCCGTGGTGTGTTTGAGCCCCTCTAGCATTTGCACAGAGTCCCTGGGTGCTGCAAGAGTTAACGTGCCAGCTACTAACTGAAAGGTTAGAGGTTCGAGTCCACCCAGAGGCACCTCAGAAGAAAGGCCTGGTGATCTGTTTCTGAAAAGTCAGCCACTGAAAATCCTACGGAGCACAGTTCTGCTCTGACACACGTGGGGTCACCATGAGTCAGAATTAGACATTAGCATTTGGGGCGAGACAGACAGAAGAATTCAGGTCCTTGGAAAGGGCAGAGTCAGGTAGAAACCTCCAGTCTGCCAGGTTTCAAGAGACTTTCAGATGGGATGGGAGATGAGACCAACTAGCCCTATGGTCTTTACCCCATTCGTGCCTGGAGGCAGGCCAGACACGGACTAGAGCCACAACTAGAGGAACAGGGGCCAGATATCAGGAGGCCAGTGGGCAGCCTTGTAGGGTAGAGGGTGTGAGCAGAGGCCCCTGGACTTGTGCCTGGGGCAGACAGCCCTTCTTACTGGTCCCCAGGGTGCTCAGGAGCTGAGGGCAGGCTGGCTCACAAGCTGTTCCGTGACCTCTTTGCCAACTACACAAGTGCCCTGAGACCTGTGGCCGACACAGACCAGACTCTGAATGTGACCCTGGAAGTGACATTGTCCCAGATCATTGACATGGTGCGTCATGGTGGTGGTACAACTGTGGACTCTGCCTGTAATGGTGTCAAGGAATAAGGGGGTGAGAAACTGGGATTGTTTTCCAAACAATTCTGGAAACCTTAATATTAACAATAATAATAGCTACTGACTGTTGGGTGCTTGCAGTGTACCTAACACTTTGCATGCTTGATTGTCCTGAATCCCTGCTATGCAGGGATCCTCACCTCATGTTACTGCTGAAGAAACTGAAATCTGGAGAAGACACAAATCAAGGTCAGGCCTGGGTGGGAACTGAAGTATGGGCAAGACGGGCTTGTGGTGCTGGCCAGAGCTCTGGAGGTGAGTGTGTCTGCACAAAAGGTATGTACATACACATGTCCACATCGGTGCCCACTCCCTGCTTCCCTCTAGGATGAGCGCAACCAGGTGCTGACCCTGTACCTATGGATCCGACAGGAGTGGACAGATGCTTACCTGCGATGGAACCCGGAGGCCTATGGTGGCCTAGATGCCATCCGCATCCCCAGCAGCCGTGTGTGGCTGCCAGACATCGTGCTCTATAACAAGTACTGCTCACCTGGGCTGCACCCCTCTCCTATCTCTCTCTATAGTCGCCCTTGGCTCTTGGCTTGTGCCGGTGCCCCACCAACACCTAAACCAGTTACTGTGCTGCCCTAGAAGCTGTTCATGTTCCCCAGGACTCTTCCCATCTTTCAGGAGCTCCCAGCCACCCCTCCACCCTCCATGGCACCCTCCCTTTAGGCCGAATGTCTGGGAACCCAGGGCCAGTTCCATGTCTGACGTACAAGTGCCTCTATACAGCACGCTCCACCTGTGCAAGTGAGCTCTGGGTCTCCCTGGCCTCCTTTAGGGGTCTACTTAGGGATCTATTTCCTGCAGCACTCAAGCCCTCTAAAGTTTGCCTCTATGGCACATAGCCTAATCTGGCTCTGTGTCTCCCAGTCAACACGTGGCTCTGCATATTTTCTCCTAGGTCCCTCCTCGAGCTTTGCAGGTGATCCCCAAGGTTACTTACTATGCTGCCCTGCCCAAACTCCAGGTTTTGTAAAAACCTTTATAGGCTGTGCTAGGCTAGATCTGTGGTCCCTTCTGGGTCCCTGGCTTTATTTCTCCTGGGTCTTTCTAGTCCTCCAAAATCATGTTGGCGCACTCCATCCTCTGTGCTGCCTGGGCTCAGACCGGCTTTGTGGCCTTAGAGCTCTGTGACCCGGGCCGCCTCAGTAAGCACCATCCCATCTGTCCACAGAGCGGACGCGCAACCACCTGCCTCCGCCAGCACTAACGTGGTTCTGAGGCACGACGGCGCAGTGCGCTGGGACGCACCGGCTATCACGCGCAGCTCCTGCCGTGTAGACGTGTCGGCCTTTCCGTTCGACGCGCAGCGCTGCGGCCTGACTTTCGGCTCATGGACACACGGCGGGCACCAGCTAGACGTGCGGCCGCGCGGCACGGCCGCGAGCCTGGCCGACTTCGTGGACAACGTGGAGTGGCGCGTGCTGGGCATGCCGGCGCGGCGGCGCGTGCTCACCTACGGCTGCTGCTCCGAGCCCTACCCGGACGTCACCTACACGCTGTTGCTGCGCCGCCGCGCCGCCGCCTACGTCTGCAACCTGCTACTGCCCTGCGTACTCATCTCGCTCCTCGCTCCGCTTGCCTTCCACCTGCCCGCCGACTCAGGCGAGAAAGTGTCGCTCGGTGTAACGGTGCTGCTGGCTCTCACCGTCTTCCAGCTACTGCTGGCCGAGAGCATGCCGCCAGCCGAGAGCGTACCGCTGATCGGTGAGCGAATGAGTGCGTGGTACGCGGCACCTGGGACAGCCCTCCCTTTCTGTGGATCCCACCCAACCCTGGCTGACGCGCGTGGGGCTCCACCCTGGGGTTGGGTTGCATAGAGCCCGGGCGGAGCAAGGAAGGAGACTGCCTCCATCCACAGGGGGGCCCCTGCTTGGGGCTGTGAGAGGAGCTGTCTCCTGGGAGCAGGCCGTCATTCTGAGATTGAGGGGAAAGGAGTAAGTAGGCCTCTTCTTCGGAGAACAGCCTCACTTGCAGGGGCGGGAAAAAGGAGTGGGTCTTTTCTCAAGGACTCGATGGAGAGGAAGTATATAGGTATACGGGTAAAAGATATTTAGTGATCACTATATGCCATTCTCCTAAGCACTTGGCATTTATTAATTCAAATAAGCATCACCACAAACCTATGTGGTACGTCCTATTGTTACTCCTGTTGTACAGAAAGGATCATTAACTTGTGCAAAGTCCTGCTTGTCCTCTTGGAGAACAGGACTTTCATGGGTTGGCTGACTGAGTGCAGCCTTCCATCAGCGAGGGGGACAGTCGGGGAGCAGTTAGCTTCTGAGAACTGACTTGTAAGAATGAGGGATGGGGAGACCTTGGCTCTTACCTCCTTCCCGCTTCCATCATTGGGTGGTGAGGGTCCTGAGAGCTTTATGGGTCGTAGGTTTGTTCCTATTTGTGATTTGGTGGCTGGGAAGCTCAGGCCTTCTGAGTTCTTGTGGTGGGCCATGGCTCGCTCTTTCTTCTGCAGGGAAGTACTATATGGCCACTATGACCATGGTCACATTCTCCACAGCACTCACCATCCTCATCATGAACTTGCATTACTGTGGCCCCAGTGCCCACCCAGTGCCAGCTTGGGCTCGAACCCTCCTGCTGGGACACCTGGCACGGGGTCTGTGTGTGCGGGAACGAGGGGAGCCCTGTGGGCAGTTCAGGCCACCTGAGTCACCCCCTAGCCCTCAGCCTCCTGATGGAGGGGCCAGCCCCCTAGTAGGCCCTTGCCATGAGCTGCGGTGTCTGTGCCACCAGGAAGCCCTACTGCGTCATGTAGCCACCATTACCAACACCTTCCGCAGCCACCGGGCTGCCCAGCGCCGCCATGAGGACTGGAAACGCCTAGCCCGTGTGATGGACCGCTTCTTCCTGGGCATCTTCTTCTCCATGGCTCTGGTCATGAGCCTCCTGGTGCTAGTGCAGGCCCTGTGAGCACCTCCAGACAGGGATGACAAAGGCCAGGGTGGTTGTTGGCCCTCAGATCTTGCAGCTAGGTTTCTCCCCACTGTGCCTGAGAGCCTGACACCTTCTCTTAAAGCTCAGCACTGCTGACTTCTCATACCACAAGGGGGCAGTTGTTGGCTATATAGCCTAACTTCTAAGGGAAGTCCAGAGCTCCTCCACTCCCCTAATTCCTAAAGAGGAAGAATAGCATCAAAGTACAGTCTTGGAGGGACAGAATTGCACATCCAGACTAGATGCTAGAGCTATTAATGGGACGTGAAGGTTATTAGATAAGCAATAGAGCTGCCACGTTTGCTCTCTTCTCTGACCTCCCATGTAGCTGCTGTTGTAGGGGCTTTATCTTGCCTATTCCAACCTGGGAGCTCAGGGAAGAGGGGCTTGGGGTTCATGGTCTAGTTTCCAGACAAGAAGACTGTACAGGGATTTGGCACCAAAGCCTCAATTCATAATAAACTGTGTTCGTAAACCTCCTAGTACCTGTCTTATCCTTGGAGCCCCTGGTGGTGGGAGTTGGGCATCTGGGTTTGGCTCTCTAAAGACAGGAGTCTCAGGACTTATGGATCAGAGCAAAAGTTATATCTGGCTGGCAGGAAAGTGACTGGGATTTGATTGAGACCCTGGCAGAGGGTCTAGAGCTGTGTCTGTCATATCTCCTGTGTTTTACCCTCTAAAGTTAGATACAATCCCCTCCATTCCCACACACTGACATTCTGAGACCTCAAAAGTGTCCAAGGTGGGGGACATCCAGTATCAGCCATTAACAGAGTACAACTACTCCTCACTTATCAACATGGTTAAGTTCCAAAGATCAAGTCATTATGTGAAAATTGGTGGTATGCAAAAATGGAGGATGACCACATTAGATCACAAAATGGAGATGACCACATCATTACATAACTGCCAAACCACTGAGAATCACGGTCCAGCCAAGCTAACCTATAATCTCAACCATCACAGCAAGTGGTATTCTTGTCTCATACCTTGGCATTCATTACTTCCAGACATATATTGTTAATGTGCAAAACAGTATGGTAGTAGACTGTTTACTGTTGTAAATGCAAAATGTCAGGTAATGAGATAGTCGATAAATAAGGAATAGGTGTATTCCTTTCTGATTTTCATTCATTTCCTGGGACCTCCTCTGTAGACCCTGGAACTCTGATGGATCAGACACAGGCTCTGCCCTCAGAAACCTTGCATACAGACATGGGAGACAGACATTGGACACATGGTATAGGGAAGCACTCAAATACTTCTGGGTGCATAGAGGCAGGGCCCCTAACCCAAGCATGGGAAAGGTCATAAAAGGTTTCCTGGAGGAGTGAATAGGAGCTTGTCAGGTGGGAACATGAGGCATCAAAATAACACCAGAAAGTGACATGGCTAAGTGTTTTCCTCCTCTGTCATCCTCCAAACGGGTTGAAGTCTCTTCTACCTCTGACTGACTTGCCGCCAGTCCTAGAGTGTCACTGCCTCTATCCACACAACCTCACTCTAGAGCCCTGTGTAAGGCTTAGTTCCAACATTCTGTCCTGTTTCTCTGCCTGCAGGCCTGGCAGTTACCAGGGAAGGTCCCAGAATTCTGTGCAGTTGAGTTTACCAGAGAGCTTGGCTCCACTTAAAGCACACATGGGGCTAACGTCCTCATGCTGGGCAGAGGCAGGTGGGGCTGCTCAGCGTCTGCTAGATCATTGGAGGCCTGAACTCTGGAAAGGGCTCCCCACAAAGAACCAGAGCATCAGCAGGAGGAACCAGACTCTGGAGAGGGGACCCTGGCCCATGGCTGCAGGAAAAACAGAGGTAGAGAGAGAGAAAGAAGAGAGGCATGGAGTGAGGTACATGAAGAAAACAAGATGAAGAGAGACAGGTAGAGTGAGCTGGAAACATTGATTCACAAAGTGCGATGGGAGATGGAGGTGAAGTGCAAGAATTTAGGAGGAAGGTGAACAGAGATGAAGAAACCAGGGATCTGCTGCAGCCACAGCCCCTCCAGACGGGGATGGCAAAGGCCATGGTGGTGGTTGGCCCTCAGATCTTCCAGCTAGTGTCTCCCCACTAAGAACCTGGGACACCCTCTCTTCAAAATCAGCACTATTGATTTCACAAACCACAGGGAAGTCCCAGTTGCCCTTCCACAGGTCATTAAGTCTCATTGTCTGCCTTCTGTTCATACAAGTGAGGCATCACAGGGCAAGACAGAACATGGGTAGAGATCTGGGTAGTACGTGACGATTTGTTCCTCAACCCAAACCTTACTTAGTATGAGAGGTGCTGAGCAGACATGGACAAAAATCCTAAACATTTTCAATGCCTGGAATTACACCATCAGAACGCAAAGACAAGGCCTGAGTTGGAGGCTGGAGACCTGGCTCTGCCACTAACTCACTCTGTCCCCTTGGGCAAGTCACTTCTGTCTCTAGGTCTCCTTTTCCTACATGAGGGTAATACTCTGTTCCAGAAGATTATTGTGTGGTAAAGATAAAATGAGATGGTGTCTGGGCAAGGGTGGGAGCCAGCCTGATGGGGCAGTTCAGAGTTTGTTCTAGAGCCAGGCTGTCTGGATTCTGCTCCTGACCAGCTGTGTAAATTAGGGCTGGTTGCATCACTTCTTTGTGTAGAACAAGGATGATAATGGTACCCACTCCATTGAGTTGTGGTGAGGATTAATGACATGATATGTCTGGCCCTCAGGGTGTTACTATGTCATGAGAATGGTGGGAACAAAGTGGAGGCTTGGGCTCCTTCCTGCCCACTGTTCACAGAGCCTGAGGGAGGGAGAAGAGATCCAAGGAGGGAGAGCTGAGTGGATTTTTGTTTCTTTCCTGGGAATGACCTGTTCTAGTAGATTCCTCTGGGAAAATCTGTTCCCACCTAGAGAAGTGGGCCGAGCTGCTCACCTGAATGATAGTTGGCTGAGGTTAGCCCTGGCACAGCAGGTGTTCAAGGGGAGAGAAGAGTTACAGCTGAAAGGGACCTGGAGGCTATCTAGTCCAATTTGCTTATTATACAGATATGGCTAGAGAGATGAGATCCAGAGAGAGAAGGGGGTGGTCACAGAGTTAGGGCAGAGCCTGGACTAGAGCCCAGGTCTCCAGCACCCAAGACCTAGCCTTGACCTTGGAAGGAGGGTCAGAGGGGAGCCCTGAGTGCAGTACCAGACAGTGGATTCTGCAGCTAAAGGAGAAGCCACAAGGGAGGACCTTGTGAGAAACAACCCTTCCCACCCTCACCTCTGTACAACCCAAATCTCTCTGGGCCCTGATCAGTGGCCTTCTCCTGTGAGGGAGGGGGGCAGACCCAGACTGGAGGGCAGGTATATCGGCTCCCTCCCACCACCACCCCCTACACACATATACATCCAAGTGAGGGGCCCAACCCCAGGGCAACCTGTCCATCCCCAAACAGAGCCCAACAGATGCCTGCATCCCTTACCTGAATTATCCAGATGGCAGGGCCCAGCCTTACACTGCTTATCTAGAGGGAAGAAACAGCAAAGAATCAAAGGCTTCAGGGCTCTCAGAACAGAAGGGACCTAAGAGGCCTGGTCGTCTAACCCTGAGTTGGCCTGGGAAAAGCTGGTGCATCTTTCCCTAATTGCTCCCTTATGGTGGGATCTCACTTGGCTAGGTTTGACTTGAACTTGGTTGTCCAAGCCAAGGCCCATTCTGGGGCACTCCTCCTGCTCACAGGACCTGTGACTTTGCTTCCCTGCCACACCCACTTCTTCTGCCCTGTTCCAGCCAAGGAGGGTCTAGTCTGTGTTCTTTGCATGTCTTCTTCCATTCACCCATCCTCGCTCACAATGCTATCCAAAGTGAGAACTGAGGCCACCTGAACCTTCTCCCATCTTAGATGTGGTCCGAAGTTCTGGCCAACAACCTGCAACCTGCCTGTAATTATGGAAACTGTCTCACAAGCCCCTGGATACTGCCCAGCTGAGAACAGCAGCCCACAAACCCATTCAAAGATTAAGAACCTGGGCCAGTCCTGATGGCTGCCCTCTGACTAAAGCACCTACTGGATCACAGCCTGGACTAGAGCTTCAGGGCACACACTTGGCCGCTGTCTCACCACCCCCAGACACACTCACTACAGCTCCTAATTCTATTCAATCTAATAATCCAAGGTTGGGATTCTTACTGTTTCCAGCAGTCTGGATGTCAGGACTGGGGCTAGAATTTAACTCCCTTTCAACTTCCAGCTGGAAAAAGGCCCACCCAGGTCTGCTTGCCCTCTCAAATGGCCAAAGACCCCTGCCTCGGTTAGGAAATCCTGAGAAGAAGCAAAGCTATTAGAGATAAGAACTCACAGGATGTCAAGACAGGAGGTGTGTTATTCATGGTAGCAAAGCTCAGTGTAGGAATGTTGGTTTAGATATCTCCAGGGAGGAGGAGCCAAGACCAGTTCATTCTGGTTCCACGCCCTGCAGAGAATTTGCATTTCCACTCCAGATATACTCAATCAGAATCTACATTATAACAAAATAAGACTGCAGATCTTGTTAAAAAGGTAGATTCTGACTCAGTGCATCTGCGCTGGAAATGCCAGTTCTCAGCAGGAGGTTGAACTGGAATGAACCGGTTAGAAGCCCTGCAAGAAGCACACTACCTGGGAATGTTCTAGCTCCCCTTACGTGGAAGGGGTGGAGGGACCACTGGATGTGACTGGGTCCTCTTCATTGTGGTTTGTTCTGAATATTTATGCCTATATCCCCTGAAAACACGGGGTGGCTTGGCTTTGCCAAAAGCCCTCGTCGACAGGGGAAAGCGCACAGCGGAAAGCACAGGCGCTGACTGCGTGGTCCTCCTCACCTTTGATATATTCGCAGTTGTATGTACTGCGCTTGCCCAAGGCCCTCAGGTAGATGCGGGTGGGGCCCTGGGCCGGTCTGCTGGCATTGACAACCTGGAAGGTCTCGAATGGGGGGATGAGCACTTCCTCTTCCCCAGGGAAGAAGGAATAGCCTTTGATAGGTGCCCCAAGGCAGGTCCAGATGCCAAAGAAGGTGTCCTGACCAAAGTTCTGGGCCGCAGCATTGTGCAAGGACGCGGAGGCAAAGCCCCCTAGCCTTACGGTGGCCCCGGGGCCTGCTGGCCGGAAGTGCAGCCCAGTCACCCCTCGGAACACCTGGCGGCACTGGCCCCTGCCCAGCAGCTGCAGGGCCTCGGTCAGCAGGAAATGGAATGTCTTGAAGGAGAAGTGGCGGAGGTAGTGGTCCCGGGAGCGGCCTGCCTCACGCACAGCTGCATTGAACTCCTTGTGTAGGGGGTTGTTGGCTGTGTAGGCCAAGAGGGCCACCCCATGCTCGTCGCGGAAGCCCGGCGACGGTGGGGGCTGGAGGGTAGCGCTAAGGCCCCACTCTGGCCCCCAAGCTTGGCGCTCCTGCCACTGGATGCTTGCCAGGGCCCATCCATCTGCATACACTTTGTTGGCCTGGAACTCAGTGTGGTTGAGATCCGGGAGAGCGGCTTTCATGGCCGCTGCACAGCCAACATACTGGTCATCAAAAGAGGCCAGGGCCATGTCCAGGGGAGTCTCTTGAGAGAAGAGGTCTCGTCGTGTGATGTGGTAGTTCTGGGCCTGCATAGAAGAGAGCATCAAGACCCAAGAGGATGGACCTTTGAGGGAATGGCATCCTTAGCATCCAGTTTTCCCCTCTACTGAGGTGTGGCTTGTATTGCTGAGAAACGTCCTAGCGCCCTAAACACACCTGGAGGGGAAGGAGATTGGGAACTATTGCTGCAAGCTCCCTAGGACCAAAGAGACTTTGGGCACTTTCTCTTCCCTCTGTTCCTCTTTCCGGAGTTCCAGAAAATCCAACAGCCCGCTCCCTGCTGGGATGGGGACGGTGGAGGATGACCATACCTGAAATGATTCTATGAGGCCATGGAACACAAGCAGCAGAAACATCATGGCAGGAGTCTGCATTTTGGAGGTGACCCTGGTAAGTTATTGTCTCTCTTTGGATCTCAGTTTCCTCATCTGGAAAATGAGAATATTAATCTATGCAGTTTAATAAATATTAATCAACACCTAATTTGTGCCATACCCAGTGCTGGGCACAAAGAATCACAAGGTAGAAATAGAGGCTCAGAAGAGAGTACTCTTCTTGCTGAAAGGAACATGGGAAACTTCCTGGAGAAGGGGATGCGTGAACAGGGTTTTGCAGGATGAATAGATGATTAAGCCTTAAACAACTGAGGGTGAGGAGAGAAAGGATTGGAGTTTGGGGAGAGAAAGGAGTTTTGGGGATCAGGAATGGGAAGAACAAAGGTATTAGAGGTAGGAACTCATAGGATATAAAGAGAGAAGTTTGCCATCTAGGGTGGCAGAGCTTCCAGAAACCGAACCAAACTTGGAATGTTGGGAAGACTGACTGGGGCCAACTATGAAAGGATGTGGCTGCCATGGTGGAGGGTCTGGTCTTCACCTCATAGGGGTCATGAGATTAGAACAGGGGTAGGTGCAGGGGTGTTAGCTGGTGGAGCCACAGCAGCACCCTGGTGACAAGTTTAGAGCATGGCCTGGGGTCCAGATGTCCTTGCCTCTTCTTCCATTCCTACTACAGGGAAGGGACAGATAAAGACTCCTAGGATTGTGTGGGGAGAGCACAGAGGGTACCTGCTTCCCAAGGGAAATGGGAGGGAACCACAAGCCTCCTTTGGGTAGGTGTGTGGAAGGTCTGAAGGGTCCCCAAGGAGAGGGCATTCAGCATTGGGTCAGGATCGAAACAGATGGTTTCTGAGTCATTGTTTTTTTTTTTTTTTTTTTCTGTCTCCCTGTTTATTACAAAGAAATGGATGCTTGTTTGAAAAAAAAAAAAGCAAAAGTAAGTGTATAAATCACAAGGTCCCCTTTCTTTTTTTTCTCCCCCTTCATTTGTCTTCCCCATGCCTGCCTGTGGGGAGGGAGAGGTGGCCAGTGATACAGCCCCCTGCAGGGCATAAGGACCTTTTTCTATGCATATGCAAATAATATATTTAATTTCATACATACATATATATGTATATACATATATACACACACATATGTATGTACACACACAAAAAAAACACTCTCACACACATATATATTTTATAACTTTTCCAGAAAATAATATATCATGGACTTCCTTCTATGTTAGTACTACTTTATTCATGTAAGTCAAACTATAATATATTTTGTTGTTGTTGTTGTTAATGTGCCATCGAGTCGGACCTGACTCATAGCAACCCCTCCTTGGGTTTCCGAGGCAGTATCACTATGGAAGTAGATTGCTCCATCTTCCTTCCAAGGAGTGGCTGCTTTCTGGTTAGCGGTCAAATGCCTTAGGCACTATGCTACCAGAGCTCCTATAATATATTTTAGCATCTCCTTATTGATGGATAGTTAGGTTTTTTTTTACTTTTTTGATATTACACATAGTACTGCAGTGAATATCCATAGATATAAATCCTTGTGCACTTGTGTACATATTTTATAGAAAAGATATCTAGAAGGAAAATGAGAGTAAAAGAATATAAATATCTTTTATTTTGACAGGCACTGCCAAATTTCCATCCATAAAGGTACCAGCTTGCCCTCGTCCAACAATGAATGAGAGTGCCCTTTTTTCCACATCTTTGCCAATGCTGGATATTACTGACCTTTTTTAAAAAAAAACCATTTCATATAACTGGTAGTCAAAAATGGTCTCTAGTTTTTCATTTACTTTGATCACTAATAAGATCAAATTAATGCTTTAATTTTCCAAAAGGTAATATATTTTCATTATTCAAAATGCAAACAGAACAAAAGGCATACAGTGAAAAGTCTTTTCTCACCAGTTCCCTTGCCCCAACCACTTCTCCCCAGAGGCTTACATGTAGCATGTCCTTATATATCCTTCCAGAGGTAATCTCTGCATAGACAAGCAAATTCATAGGCGTTCCTTCTTTTACACGAATGGTAATGTAGTCAGTGGTTATCTTTTGAAAGCTGGTGAAAGTTGAAACCTCTCCTCAAAAAGTACATATATGCACCTTCACACAAATATTACATAAATTTCAGAACGGTTGTGAGTCTAACTCCAATCTCATTCAGGCAAAGATTTCCTACTCTTATTATCCCTTATGTCTTTTGTCAGGGAGGGCCTACATTTTGGTAGTTCAGTGACTCTACAACACTGGAATTCCATGTATCTATAATTTTATGAATATAAAATATAATTGTCAATATACAATTTAAATTGAGATGTGAACTTCTCTGGGCAATGGGGTTAGCAGTAGTTTTTTTATTTTATCAAATTCAACATGTCAAAAATGAAACTCATTATCTTCTCCCCCTCAAAACCTGCTTATTCATTTACTCAAGAAAAATTTCCTGAACACTTGTAATATGTGAGGCACTGAGGATAACAATAACAAAATGAACAGCAACAATAACAAAATTGCATCCATGTTTCTTTAAGCTCTTTTGAGGTAGTGATGGACTTGCAGTATGTAATTAATGTAATGTATGTTACATGTGATGCATGTTACAAAAAGAACCAAAAGAGCTGTAGTGTAATGAATTATTTAGTGTGGCCCTAGCTAGTCTTTGTAACTCCCACCAAATGACTGGGTGGGACTATGCAGGGTGTTTGCGGCCCACCAAAGGGATTGGATAGCTTGCTAATAATGTAAGTAAGATGCATGGCACCCTTTTGGGGTGGGACCATGGAGTAAGGTACCTGGAACCCTAACATGGGGATTGGTCAGTTTTGCTGTCCCACTGGGTTTAAAATGAGCCATCTGAGAGGCAGGAAGGGGGGATTCTCACTACGATCCAGAAGGAAGAGCCAGGAATGGAGTGCATCCTTTGTTGCCAAGATCCCTGAAATTTACCTCCTCAATCCAGGAGACACAGAGCTGTGACACTGGAGATGGCAAGGCAGGGTTAGCAGCAGTGCAGAGCAATGGTAGCAGCAGGGGCAACAGAACCAAGAGATGGGCATGAGAAATAGCAGCGGGCTTCCTGGCTCATGGAAGGAGTGAGGAAACTGAGTGCCTTGGGGCAGGAGGCTTACTGATGGAGTGAGGTGCCTCTGAGCAGTTATCAGCATTTATCATCGGCAGAGCTAAAAGAGCTTTGTAACATTTGCCAGAGTAGGGCAGAGGCCAACGGCCACAGGGCTGAGAGACCCCGAGGCCGAGGGCCAGAGAGCGGTATGCCTGAGACACTGCTGAGAAGAGGCTGTCCTGATGAACTGTATCCCAAGTCATTTCTGATTCTGAATTATAACCTGTTGCTTCCTTAATAAACCTCATAACTGTGAGTATTGTGAGTTCTGCCATTGCAATGAATTATCAAACCCAGCAGAGAAATAGAGAGTTCTGTGAGAGGAATGGTTGGTGTCAGAACTGGTACAAAAAGGTTGGAGGATGGAAGCATGTCTGACCTCTGCCTCATAGGAATCAGCCTTGGGCTGTGCCTGTTGATCTTGATCCTCCTCCTCCTGGTAAAGTTAGAGGAGGTCAGACACCTCTGCCACACCATTTTTACAAAAGCTTAAATGATATTAATATCGGAAGTGGGGTTTAAATGAAGTCATTAAGGGGATGCACAGAATATACAGACTCGTAGGAAGATGGAGTGTAAAGCATGAGACACATCTCCCTGTTCTAGGATTCTAGATGCTGATAGGCAGAGTATGTGGCAGCCCAAACCAACATGAGCTCTTGCCCCTGTTGTTGTTGTTGTTGTTAAGTGCCTTCGAGTCATTTCCGACTCATAGCGACCCCATGCACAGCAGAACAAAACACTGCCTGATCCTGCGCCAGCCCCACAATCCCTGCTATACTTGAGCCCATCATTGCAGCTACCGTGTCAATCCATCTCGTTGAAGGCCTCCCCCTCTTTCGTCGACCCTCCACCCTACCAAGCATGACATCCTT